TACAACAACAACAAAAGCTCTGGAAATTCATTCTACCAGAATCCGCCACCACTGACTCAAGAAAGCAAGATTGAAGCCATGCTTGATCATGGTCTTGAAGGACATCAAAGGCTGACAGTCGATATTAATGGGAATATTGATTCCATCTACAAAGAGCTGGATGCCAAGATTGAAACTTTGGGTACTCAGGTAAGGAAGCTTGAGACTCAGGTGGTTCAGACTGAAGAAGCTGGTAGGAGGCAAGAAGGGGATGAAGCTAGGAAACACCACGTCAATGCCATACTGGATGATGATTTCTGGCAAGAAATCCGACATATAAAGATGGAAGAAGACGATTTCGAGGAGGAAAACTTGTCCGATCTCGAAGAATCACCTTCTCATTTATCGATTCCACCTAGTGAGCAACGATCGACAGTACTCAACAGAGATGGATCAACATGTGACTATGCAGATCGATCGACACCTACCAAGCCGACTGAAACGTGCAATGCCATTCAGATATTGACCCACGCATAGTTCACAGAAAGACACCTACATCCACCCAGCCCTTTATACTCTACCATCAATCGAAATCACGAGCTGGACATCGATCGATAGAGAGAACATGTCAACAATCGACATGGTTCTATCCCCATCGATCGACAAGATACTATCCCATGCTCAGTGCATTTGCCCCCAATAGACATATCGCGAATCAGTGCACTTAAACCACTATCAACCAACCCTCCCAACCCTACATCAGAGCCTATAAACATTGATAAGAGCACTACTGAGAGACATCTGAGGAGAAGGAAGGAGAAGGTTCCTAAACATCTGAAGAAGGAACCCAATTACAATGAGATGGATGGTTTCACTAAGAGAGTTTTCAGGATTCACCTAGACAAACCTTTTGAGGAGGTTTACCATACCCACAAACTGTGGATGTTCTTCAGAGAGATCAGTGAAACTGATGAGGACATTAGGAAGATGTTTCACCATGTTAAGGAAATGATGAAACATAGGATCACATTGAAGAGGAAGAGTGATCCTGGGAAGTTTGCACTACCGTGTTCTGTCAAAGGTATTGAGTTCCCACATTCATTATGTGACACAGAAGCATCAGTCAGCATCCTACCAAAGGTCATGGCAGGCCATCTAGGTCTGAAAGTAGAACCTTCAAAAGAATCATTCACTTTTGTGGATTATTCTGAGAGGAAATTAGGAGGTATATATAATCAGAGACCTGGAGGTGCAGATTGGTAATGCACTAGTTCCTGTGGATTTTCATGTCCTGATTATCAAGCTAAACTGGAATTCTTCACTCTTACTGGGAAGAGCTTTCATGGCCACAATAGGAGTAGTTTGTGACATGAGTTCGAACAGGTTTTGTCAAAAGTATTAAAAAAAAATGTCAAATCATGAGTTAAGAACCCCATACTAAGAACTCCCAATTAACATGTCCTTATACCCCTAACGTTTTAATTAAAACTATTACAAACTATGTTTTTTTGTAAGCTTGTGTATAAATGTTTTAATGGTCTTAAAGAAAATCGTTAAATAATAGTTCTACTTTTTTTTCAATATGATATTTTAAGATTAAGCACATAGATTAGGAAAATTTTAATTTTGTTTCATTTCTTTTAAAAAATTATTAATTGTTTATCTAACCATTATTCAACCAATAATAAATAGAAACTATAATATAATTAGCCATCTAAAATTAATTATTAATAAACTATAAATAGAAAATTAAAAATGTTAAATAATTTGGAACAAAAACAATTTCTCTTTATAGCAAAACTAAAGATTGTAAATGGATGCATGTTAGAGTTCATGCTTGGGCCTTGAATGGTATAAATGATGATAAAGCAGTACCATTATTCTATAGAGACAATATTCTATAGAAGTTATATGCTCTCATTAAAGTTTTTAATAAATTGATTGGTAGAGCAGTAGCAGTACAATTTTAAAATAAAATCAGCTATCTAATTACTTTTTATTTTATTTATTCTAACCACAAATACTTTTCCAAAAAACTTCATATGTGAACACTGAGCAAAGAACATTTGAAGAGTATTTGCATCTTGTAAATATTAGTAATATAAATATTTTTGTAATAAATGATGATTCAATAATAAAGAAACATTATGTTTATGCTAACACATTACTAATCAAGTCCTAGTTATCTATATTGCCAGTTTGATGCGGGGCAGAACTGACGGCTCAAGATCTCAAGGTAAACATTCTTCTATCATTTTTGGGGGTAAAGCAAGTTCAATATGTACCCCTTTTGGTTATGCATTTCGAAACCTAGTTTCTACTTTCTACAACTCGTATAGTTCTATTCGCATGCTTACAATAGTTAGTGCTATATAGTATAGTACTTCAATGATACAGCCTCAGAATCTCACTTTAGCTTTTCTCACAAGAAATCAAAACCGACAGCTTAAATGGAATGAAGGTCGCCACTCAAAGATGTGAAAGGCTTTGAGATAAGATCATGAACCAGAACCTAAGTGAATCTCACACAAAGATAAAGGTTCTACACTTGTATCCTAAGAAAGAATCTCACATAACTTAGAAATAACAAGAACAAGCATAAAAGCTCTCAAGAGAAAATCTCACTTTTTTATTCAATACTCAAGTCTGCTTTTACAATGAAATAAGAGGAGCTTTATAAATAGCTCTTGGACAAAATCAAAGACATAAATGAAAGGCGGATTTCTAGGACAAATCATAATTAAGAGAAAATCAAATGGCTGGTCAAAAGGACTGATCTCAGGGGATTGGGATTTGCTTATTAAGGAGATGTTGACCACGCCTTTAATACCTTTGATCCATATAATTATTAGCTGATAAGGAGGCTTAAGTGGTGGCCTTTGTTTGGGAACAGCCAGTTGAGTCAAACGAACCATGGGCTTGGTGTCGTCTAGGTTCATCCGAGTCCAAACATGGAAAGTATCGTCTACTTTAGGAGCACTGGATTTGATGGCCGCATCATTCTTTTTGGTTTAACATGCAAATTTTATTATTATATACTAGTTTATGTTACTGTGGTTTAAAGTCCCCGTATAACGAATGATGTTGATGTATACTTCTCTGAAAATTTTAAACTGTTGCAAGTTATAAGTCGCAATGAAGTTGACAATGAGCGTAAGTTTAAACTGATTGCTGTCTCCTGATCTATTAAATCTATTATTCGAGTGTGTTCATGTATGTGAAAATTTACAATACAGAGTGTGTCGGTGTAGAATGAAAGCAAGATTAAAGAACAAGAAGAAGTGGAGGTCACGTGGGAGATTGAGAAGGAGTTCAAACAAAAAGGTTACAAAATATACAGCACATATATCTCTCTATCTATATTTTATACACAGTTAGAAAGAACAAATATTTAAGGTGTGTCACTGTTCTATATAGATCCCTACAATGATAAAATGTCTATGAATACCAAATACTTTTAAAGCTGAAAAACAGAAAATTTCGAGATTCAGAACAAAAAACGTTTGCAAGGAGCCAGGACGAGTGAGAGCCACATGATATGTAAAAGAACGGTCTAAAGCGAAATAAATATAGCAAAGGGGATTAAAAGACGCCAGGTAGGCATGTGGGAAGTCACGTGAAAAATTATCCACGTGTCAGACTCGCAAGAGAAATAATAGAGGGAAACAATCTTCCCACCTTTTCACCAGCCCGTGTGTGTCCCTAAGTAGGGGTGGGCGCGGATCAGATATCCGGATTTTTAAAGTATTTATGATTTTCTTCAAATGTTACGGATATCTAATTTTAATATTTGCTTTTCTTCAGAAAAATACGGATATCCAGAAAAACGGATATCCGGAAAATAAATAGATATTTGCGGATATTTACGAATATTTACGAATATCTAATCCATTTGGATTAATACAAATAATCTTCAAATTTTGATATAAATTTGCTTTACAAAAATATTTTTTGCATGATAAATAAAATAAAAATTAAAAGAACTAGTGAATTTACATATTTTGTAATTTTTGAAGTTTAAGTTGCAATTATAATAACACAAAAATTAAGAACAAATAATATAATTGTCATGATTGTTTTTTTAATGTAATACTTTTATATAAGTAATAATGTGAATAGAATTGTTCAAAATCATGTGTTAGAATAATTATTATATAATTTCACATTTAAAATTTTAAATATAATCAATATATACATATATTTATATATTTCCGGATCGGATCAGATATCCGCTTCCCAAAATTTTAATATTTGTGATTTGCTTCGATTTTAACGGATATTGATTTTTAGTATTTGCTTTGATTCGAAAGTTTACGGATATCCATATTTTTCGGATCGAATTGAAACGAATAACGAATCGAATCAAATTTAACGGATAAAATGCCCAGCCCTATCCCTAAGAAGACTTCGCCCATAACCACTATTCTTATGGTTTGGGCCGATTCTTATAGTTTTGGTTTTTTCCCGTGAACATCTGTTATCCATGTGACATGCACGCGTCGCTTTATCCACACAATTAGGTTAATGAGAAATAACAGTATAGTAATTAGTAATTCACTAATTTGATGGAGAGGCAATTTTTAATTAATTTATCTGTACAACAAAATACTCAAAAATAAATTAACTATGCAGATTTCAAACTTTGTTTTTGGTACATCTATACTGAACGATTGATTCGTGAAGAAAAAGACAAATACATATATTCAACAAAACCTTATACATACGAAAAACACAATACTGGTCGAAGTATTGTATTGGGTAATTACTAAAATAAATTTTAAAAGCCTTTTAGCAAAAAGAAAAAAGAAAAAAAAGGAAAGAGAGTTATGTTAACTACAAATTTTTAAAACGTCGTTAAGTTTCTGATATTATGCATTAAAAATTAAAATATACTTCCATAAACCCCAACCGTTGCAACCGTACGTACCCTCTCATGTATAGGCATAAATACCAAACAGTAACACAGAACATTGTGCATCTCTTTTTGTCCAGAAGGGGAGAAAAAAAGTGGGAGAGAAGCCATGTTGAATCCTAATGCACCATCGTATAGAAGAAGGCTGAGTGCGCATGCACAACCGTTTGAACCGGCGGACCTACGTTCACTGTATCTTACCTTTTCAAACGGCTTTCCCCTGAAAGAAAGTCAGATCTTCCATTTTTTTAACGGGTAAGTAACTAAATCTAATGCCCTAATCCTCTAATCATATGTTATTTAATTAGTTTCAGTGTGCGCAAATGCGTTGTCACCAGACCACATACCCATTGAATTGGAATTCCCGTTACATAGTGACATAGAATGTTGGCTTTGTGAACATGAATGTCCTAATCTATGAACCAACTCATACACATTCATTCGCTTTTTTTTTTTGATAAGCAATCATTCGCACATAGATGGATATAATCTTTGTTCAGTTTGTACAAATGCTATTTCTCATAGGCATATATACTTGCATGTTACATTTGGTGAGTAATCATACAATTTTGGTGATGAAAAATATATACTTGTAAATCAATTTGTTATGAATTTTTTTATATTAAGAGGCACTTTATAACTTTTCAATTACACATAAAGACACATTTAACTTGTAAGGTACTTTCAAGTGGGACACAAAGAGAGGATTGACATAGTTAACCTTAATATGTTTTGGTTTAGGAAAGAGAAAATGTGTTTCCAATAGTTAGTTTTTACTTCTTAATATTTTATTTATTTATTTTAAAACTAAAAATATATATAAAAATTTGTTGATATAATAATTGTTTTTTTTATTTTCTATAATTTGATACCCATTTTGATATGTTTTTTTGTTATATTTAAAAATCTATACATGTACATGTATCCAATGATTATGTATCTAATGATTGTGTTATGGATGAGTGGTATGTAGATTTTTCAAACCCTGAACGACATGCATGTAAACATATAATCATTGAGGATATGTACATTTATCTAATGATTGTGTTATAAGTGAGTGATATATGGATGTTTGAAAACCGTGGATGACGACTACATGGAGACATATAAGTATGGAGAGGTACATGTGGATGGTTATTTATGTTTTTCTATGTTGTTATCAAATAATGGTTCATCCGTCCATGCATTATTTGTCCACGCATTATCCATCCACACACATCACCCATTAACCCGTCCACGTATCTCTGACCACGCATTATCCGTTCACACATTACTCATCCACATATCATCCATTAAGGGTTAAATTGTCTATAATCTATCATTGACCCACAACAAAATGTCTCACATGTAGGAAGTGTCTTTAAGTGTAAAAGAAAGTGAAAAAGTGATTTTGAGTGTAATCAACTATTTTAACTCATTTGTTATTTATTGTGCATGTATATATGATGATGGTAATAATGGTTAGGTTATACCCATCCCTTGTGGAGAAAGTGAGTGTGCCGAGGCCAAAAAGAGGAAGCGGGCCGTCCTTGCATGGGAAGGTGGTGTTCAAGAATGCTGTCATCCCCTTCTGGGTGATGCAAAATCATGAAAAGGTTGGCTTTTTTGTAGATGGGCGCCCTTTTTACTGCAGTAAGTTTGTCAGTAAGAAAACAATAACTGCACCCACTACAAGTACTAGCCTCCCTGATGGTGAAAGCCACCCCGGTGGTAAAGAATGATCTACGCTTTAGGACGTGGTGATCGATGAATTTAAAAACGCTTTTTGTTGTATCAAACATATGGTTTGTAGTTGAACCGACTAAACCCTTTTATGTTTTCAGCTTAATGACTAAATGAGTGAACGTTCGATTGTGTGAGAACGAATGTTGTAAACTCTTTATATCTGTTCAGAGATATTTTTAAAGTAATGACAAACTATTATGAAATATTTTTTTATCTTTCTTTCAATATATATTGGTTGAGTATTGGTTATAATTTCAGGTAATACACAGTCATATAGTTAACATCTCGCCTAAGACAAACCCCCTGGTTTATTACTGATGTGAGATGAGAAATGCCCATCGTTAAAAGCCACATATTGTACAAAAAATGTTTAGCCTTAAGATTTAATTTTATTAAGTTTTATTTTGAACTTTTGATGGATTTGGTTTGTTTAACATAGATTGCTATATATGTGTGACAATATTTGGATAACATACTGCATATTACCTATAGAACTTGATATTTTTTTAAAAAGAAAAGAAAACCTTGAATCCTTGTTTCATTGCTAAATAAATCAGAGAATAAAATTCTGAATTGAAACGTTGATGGAAATCGTAAGGGAAGTGGAACACACAATTGATGTTTTAAATTTTTGTATAAAAATGAAACTTTAGTTCCGTCTTCGAGCAGCTTGGCCACGTTACTGAAAAAGGCAACTTGAGTAGAAAACCCAAACCATTGTTTCTTATATGATCCTTCTAAATCGTACATAGGCTATATTTCTTATCATTGAGATATTATAAGCTGGATTAAAATGTGACCAAAAAAGGGTAGTGATATCAATGATGCGGGTATTAAACTATCTAAATACTTGTATTTTGTCACATATATATACTATATATGATGTGTACTGCATATAAGTTTTAAAATAAATTACTTAACGTCTTTTAGAAAGAAAAAAATTCTTTGTTTTGAAGCGTTTCGCGTTTTTTCCATGTATCCAAATTTTGCAGGTCTCTGTTAACAATTAGTTTTTTCCATTATAAATATTTGCCTATTGGGCTTAGAGTGTAGCCTAGATTTGATTTGGATTGGAGCTAGCATAGAGTATCACAAACTACAATCGTCTCTTTTTTTCTTCTTCCCACTCATTTGCATATGACTATTGTGTCAGGCTGAATGATAACTATACTAGTTATGATGTTACTTTTTGTACGATGTGGAAGTCGAGAACTATATACGGTCATTGACGGGTTGTTGGATTATTCTGGGGGAAATGTTGATAACACTCAAATCTACTACAAAAAATCTCCCAGACTAATTTTTAACGCCAAAACATTGTTTTATATGTCATTTATCCCTGTCGTATTGCTGGAGGACTCGTCCTTGATTATTTCTATTTTTAATTTCATTTGACTATATATAAGTATTAGTTTCCAGGTGTAAAGAACAAAAAAGTTACAATAGCAAAAAAAAAAAAGAAGTTACAGTCGTGACCATATTATCCAAAAATAAAACTGAACATATAACAATAAAATGTAAATAAAGAGGCAGAAACGTCAAGAATTATTCGAGGGTGGAGAAATAGGAGAGAAGAAAAAGGGATCATTATCAGATTTCTTCAGTGTTGCAATTTAAAATAATAAAGAGAATATGTAGGGCATCCTCTAAGAGATATAAAAATGATGTATATGTAGATCTGTCTCTGTTGAACAATAAAAAAGAAAGATATGTCTCTCTTAATTTATTTCTTCCTATATGTTATATAAACCATTGCATAACTGAATTTGTTAATAGATGTTCACAAGTGTATGTTTCACATGTAAACAGAGATACTGATTTTAAGTAGAACATGAAGATAAATTTATCTTTATATGCCTTTTTCTAAAGGGTTTTGCAATCAAAATGTGATGTATTTATTATAACTGAGTTATTATTTTGTATAATGATATTGAGTCTGGCCAAAAGCAAGATTTGAGAATAGGATTTTGTGTGGGCCAAGAGATGTTACCATTTCAAATGAACTCCACGATTACCAAAAAATACTATGTTAGATACATCATAACTGTATCCTTTTAAATTTAACAAAATAGAAAAAAGAATCTCATAATATTTGTTTGGATTACTATTATTATTGTTATCATGTATTTAGCTGACAGTTTTTCTTATCGATGGAACGATTTATCGAGAAAAATAACTTACAAAATTATTTTTGAAAGATTTACACCAAAGTCACTTTTTTACTTATTAATGACATCTTAATTCGCTTACTTATATTAGGACATTTTTTCACAACTATCGGTTGAGACTGCTACTATCAAATTCACACTCAACTATACGTAACCAAACTAAACAAATAAATAGTTGGGATTGATGTCTAGCCATATATTTGTAGGAATTTTGTGCAGCTAAGATGTAATCATCCATATCTTGATAAGACATATATCTGTCTCATTACACACCGTTGCACCACCTTGTGAAATTTCATGAAGGACTGTCTATATATTAGCTCAGTACTTCTTCCTTCTTTCATCTTCACCATTTCGTGACGAAGTTTTCATCTTCATCGGAGAAAACACAAGGTTGGTTATTCTATTAATTTCATATTTTTTCTTATATTTTAGAAGTAATCCATGATAATAACTTTCCGAGCTTTTATTTTAAAAGTCGTCTGCCATGGCAGAACATTGTATGGTCATTGTTGACGAGTGGAAACTTTTCGCTGACAGGAAGTGGTCCTTCCCGATCGACTCAGAGCACATGACAAGGATTGTTTCCTTTCGAGTTGGTATTCCGCTGTCAGAGTTACTGAGCAATGTATTTAACGAGTTTTTCGTCAGTTCTGATGTCCTCCGCACCGCCGCTCTTAGCTATAGGCCACCGAAAATCAAAGATCTTACATCATACGTGCATCCTTTTAGTTTTAACGAAACAGAAAAAAAATTTCTTGTACATATTTTTTTAGAATACTATTATTATTATTATCATGTAACTATTTGACAGTTTTTCTTATCGATTGAACGATTTATTGAGGAAATTAACTTTCACAATTATTTTTAGTCATTATAATGGAAATCAAAACTGAAGCATATCAAATACTATTGGTTGATATAAAAAAGCTGCATATACGAGAAAGTAGTACTCCTATTTTATTGTATATTATCTCCATTTCATTTTAGTTATCGTTTTAAGTTTTTGCATACATAATAAGAAAATAATTAATTTTGCATGTTTTCAAAATAAAAACGCATGTACCTTTACACCTAACCACATTTAAACCAATGAAAAGAATATAATGATATTTAAAATCAATAAATTTTGCATTGAAATTATTAAAAGACACTTATTTTGAAACAAAAATTTTACTCTAAAACCACATCTAATTTGAAACAGAGGGAGTATATATAATATTTAACCTCTTTTATGGGAAAACAGAGAATTGAATGAACAAAATTAGCTAGAGGGAACATCATATTTAAGTTTCTGAACCGCTTTGTCGCCTGTTTAGTATGCACATATGCATTTTTTGTATTGTTGTTCATGTACGTAGGTATGATGTATAAACTTTCCATAGTATATAAATACATATAGTTTCGATACGAGTAAATATAAAGCCTTTGATTTTCACGAAATATTAAGGCCTTTTGAATCTGGAACTACGACCTTTTTATTGTTAACGTTAAAAGTTTGACTTGTAATGATTAAGATTCAGTATAGAGGCTTCAAACTTTCAATCAATTGACTTCCTTAAGTCTAGATCTCAAAGATAGATTAGTTCTTTCCCAAGATACTAATTTCTAAGTTTTAGCAATCCTACCCCATTGGCTTGATACACTAAAAATGCAATAAAATTAAGTCCATTAACTATCTAGCAATCCTATCATCAAATCTCTTTGGCTCAAGCTAGAGCAATGTTGCACTGGTTCAAACATTCCATCGAACACCTTCCGGGTGTGGAATGTCTAATGATCAAGATTAATATTAGCAAAGTCTAATCTAGCATTAAACACAATCAACAAGCAAGGAAACAATAGATCTAACTCTAAGAACCCCTAAATCTTCTCTTAATCACCCTAATCACTCTAACCCTTGAATCACAAAGTGACTACTCACTAATAGACATGAATAACTGAGCAACAATAGATGATTGTAGGTTAAACATGGTTAGTGATCAGATAACTCAATAAACACAAGAGAATAAGATGAAAAGAACCTAAAGTTTTGATCTTTCACCAAATAGGTTCTTTGTGTTTGAGAGAAAAAAAGATAAGTCCTAAAATTAGGTCTAGAATGTATTTACAGTAGTTTAAAACTTGAACTGGGCCGATCCGACAAAACCAAGCTTGACCCGAGAAACATGTGGTCTTGGAATCGACCGCGAACAGCTCCAGCCCACGGACAGCTCCATCCCGCGGTCCGTTCTCTTGAAACATCAACCTCTTGGGCGAAAATCAGCGGCCTGATATTGTCCACGCCCATCAACCCACGCTACTACCGCACTATTGTCCCGCGGGATGGTGCGTCTTCGTCGACCTCTTGGGAAGAATTCTGTGGCATGGTCTGATCCGCGCTGATATAAGACTCGGATGGAGCCTTTGGAAGGAGGTGGATATGGATCCTCAAGCTGGCTTTCACACACTCTCTTGAGAACAAAGAATGATCGATGGGATGAACACTTGACCTGAAGATGATCAAGTGGGATGTGATCTAACAAGCTGGCTTTCACGCTCTCTCTTTTTGGTCCGGTTGATGATGTAGATGATGGAACGAAGAACACCACAAGGATGATGGATCCTTGATACAGTTCAACACTCCTGCTAACTTGAATTAAACAAGAAAGAAGAAATTGGCTGCCTTGCTTAGGGGGCAAACTGGCTCATATATTGATCTGTATAAAAAGTTGTGTGTTACAATGGCTGCGTGTGTGTCTTTATTAATAGTCATTCAGCCTTTGACCTAATGGTTGACTCAAAGCAAAAGAAAAAGACTCAAAAACGACAGGACTTAGAGTTTAAAC